GCCAAAACTAAATGCACTGGTAATCTCAGCATTTCACTACCTTTTTTTTTAGAACCGATCCCTAGAAATCCCACTTAGCACCCGATTTAGAAGTGTACAATCTGGTCACACTTGCATGAAGCCAGTTGACCAGTTCTCCATAATCACCCTTTTTACTGTATTTAATCTGACAGCTACAGGCACTGATCTTTTATACAAGCATTATCTATTTACCAGCATATCAATGATGACGCCAAGTTTCTGTTTGTTATTCACAGGGTCAGCCTAGTCAACCTTTTGCAGATATTGATATTACTAGGTAGTCTCTGTTGAGTACCTTTAAGTATATTATCATGCGCATCTTTGTAGAGTTCTTTTTGGGGGACCAGAAAAACTGGTGAGTAAAACCCCTTTGTAGTGTCTGATATTCATGGGTACAAGGACCTCGTGTTTTGACTGAAAACCCAAGTAGGTATGACCGATGTTTTGTTTTAAGTCATTATATTTATTGATGTCTACCCTCGTGTTTTGACAGGCAACCCAAGTGGCTATGATCGATTGTTGGTTTTAAGTCACAATATTTATTGATGTGTACTCTCGTGCTTTGACTGACAGCCCAAGTGGGTATGATCGATTGTTGGTTTTAAGTCATAACTTTTATTGATGTCTACGCTCGTGTTTTGACTAACAATCCATTTAATGTCAATAAATTAAGCTTTCCAAACGTGCCGAATGTCAGCCATAACTCTGCTGTCATACTTATGACAAAATAGCTCTGAAATAAATAAAGAGATTTGTCGAAGCCAAAGTTCCTGAGCTACCCCTCGAAGAGAGTAAGATCTAAGGCATATTTGTCTCCTTCGTGAAGTGTACCGGTTGGGCAGCATCCGTGGTGTAGTGGATAAAGCGTCTGCCCGTAGAAAGGAAGGTCGGTAGTTCGAACCCTGTCTGCATCATACCAAATTACGATGATGGGGGTGATCCGTGTAAAAAGACATAGCGCTATTACTATTCTAAATGGAAGCATGTTGAATTCGAACCTTAGACTGTTTACTGCAAAGCGTAGGTAGGGTCCACAACTCGGGCGAATAGGCAGACAGACTAGCCAATCTCCTAGTTTGAGGGAATTGCATAATATTTTTACTGAATCCATTTGAAATTTTGGTGGACGTACTAGTCTCTGTTGAGTACCTTTAAGTATATTATCATGCGCATCTTTGTAGAGTTCTTTTGGGGGACCAGAAAAACTCGTGAGTAAAACCCCTTTGTAGTGTCTGACTTTTGTAAGATGCTGATGGCCCCTTTGTCTAGTAGTTCTCGTATAGACAAAGTTGCGGCCGCTAACTTGGCCCCTTACTAGATGTACGTCATCCTTTGGGGTGGACTACAAGCTCCGGACGCTGTTGGAAATGGAGTTTGAACCCTCTTTTTATCACTTCGATAAGCCAAGGGTCTTCCATAATTTACATCCAATTTTCAGCGTATAGTGACAGACGACCGCCGACTGGTCCCGTGGTAGGCGTTAAGATGAACTTTGGTAACCGGTAATCGAGGTCCATTAACATCGCAACGTCCGCTTGATTATAATGAACCAAATGATCCTTTTTACATTTCGACTAACACTCTTGGTCCAAACGCACAATATGGTGATTCCAACAAATGGTTTCGTCGCCAACCAATTAGAGAGAGAAAACTGTGTTCACTTACGAAATCCATGAATGAGTCGGCAGCACTCGAAACATCTGTTGTGTGAGACGATCTCTACTTCTGTCGGAGACATTCGGTTTCCCTCGGAAGTGTTCGGGCAGCCGAGGCCGAGGTGCACGTGGCCGAGCGCTGCCGGAAAAGGGATCGTCTGCAACGAAGCTTCAAGAAAGGTAAAATCCCTAGTTCTGAGCTAACAGTCGCGGACCGCATTTTAGAATAACACTACGCAGATCGTGCCGGACGATCACACTATTAATTGGCGAAACCATCAGGGCAGTTAATCACCATATTGTTCGCGGAAGTAAAATCACTACAGTGGCGCTGCGAACAAAAATACGATTTCTGCTTTTGAACGGGCCGCCATTTTGATTGTTTTGACCGTTGCCGATCTGAAGTGAAAAATTTGTCGTACGATTGGAAGATATTTTCCATTTTTTGTACGGCAAATATTGTAATTATTGATGCTATATGTTATTATATGTATGTCTCAAACATTTTTCATTCAAGTGCCACGCGAATTAACGTGTTTGGCAGATTGAGAAATTTTGACAGTCTGTTGCGAGCGTCAACAAAACCTCTGACCTCGTGACCTTTACCCTCGTCCGTGATACTTTGCATACGAGCGATTGTTTGTATGTATATGTATTTTCTGAATGAAATTTTTGTGTGAGATTGATTTATTACCACGTTTGGTCCACCGTGATACCTATTCATCGTGGATTAATCGTATAATAAAATTGAAATCTTTTGAATATTCTGTGGTGACAAGACAACACAGGAATCGTCGAGATTGGGATCACACACTCGCTGAGTTTTGCGATATTTTTTGCAAAATACAATATTGCTCAACAATTTGAAGTTTGGATCCCACACCTGCTGTGTGTTGCGATAGATTTTGAAAAAACATCTTGTTCATAAAGTGAATTAGGACTTCAAAATTGAATCAAACCATGGCAGAAGACAAAATTTACATTAACTTTTGTGAAATTCAAGATTTGGTCACAGTGCCTGGCATCGGCCGTTCCACAGCAAAATTAATAATGGCACACATTGAGAATAATGGGGAAATCACCAAGGAGGAATTTCTAAATTTAAAAATTCATAAAGTCACCTCCTTGGCTGACTATTTTGATTTCTCTGCACCTGGAAGCCCTACAATGGATAGCCAGCCTCTGGCTCAAAGCCTTCTACAACCAGGTATATCAAGTTCAGCCAACATGGGGCCAAATTCTGCGGCCGGTATGTCATCAGGGTATGGGGGTTTAGGGGGTTTAATGACCCCAGTACATCAACCACCACCTGCTGGCGGTGTTGCGAGCACTCTTGCACTCATACTGACCTGCCTCCTTCTGCTCACATCCAAGACAGAACCTCATGATGACTTGTCGCTCAACATAGTCTTCTGGCAATCTGTCAAATGCAATTGTTGCTGTTGACATGAGCCGTTCCGACCATTTCTCGAGGGACTCATCAGGTTGTTGGCGCATGGTGTTGAATTTCACCTGCGCTGTTTCTGGAAGTTCTTGGCGATCATACCACCGTTGAAACTTCTTAACGAGATCCTCAAATGGGATATCGGGATCTCGCTCAATGCAAGAAGCGAAGTATTCACTTGCTTCGTCCTTCATGCAGAAGCATAACTGGTCCCGTAACTCCTCAGAATTCCAGTTCTCTCGTTTGGCATAAGTCCTAAACTTTAAATAAAAAGCCAACCAACGACTCTTTCCATCAAAGACCAGGGCCCTAGGTACCTTGATTGCCGGGCTGTGTCGGTCCTGACTTGCATAGCTCTGCCTTGGTTGATGCTGTCTGGCCCTTCCTCGGTTAGGAAACCTGTATTCGTCATCATCAACATGATCAAGCGCTGGCTCTATGCAAATCTCTGGTTCTCTGTTACTTGGACGACCAGGCTCGGTAATAATCTGAGTGCGTCGTCTGACATCCCCTGCCCCATACTCTCGGTCACTGAGAAATTGCCCAGGATGTATATCTCTTCCTGGTTGGTTTTCGACCCTTCCTGACTGGGGAATTGTTTGAACATGTGTGGCCTGATATTTGTCAATGACAGAAATTAAATGATTTTGCTGTCTTGTTCGGTCATCTTGAATCCGAGATGCTGTTGCCTGTGCTGGCACGTTGGGTCGAACCCCACCATGGATATTCTGGTCTGGGGTTTGGACTCGGCTGCTTACTGGTACCTGTTGTGTCCGCTCTTTCATGCATGGTATCAAACTCAAGCAAAACAGCAACATTATTGGCTGAATATTTATTTATATTCCTGCTAATTTTCCTGTGACATATATTATTAACTACTCCTGTGACAACAAAGATTTTATAAACACATAGAAGCAGAATGTGTACATAAGACAAACACCCAGGCACATGTATGAAAGACTACCAATGGCCAAACATCTATCATAGCTCATCATGTTACACACTGTCATACATCTCCATCATAATAATGTGCTTATGCCGTCAACCAGCCTACCACACACATCCTTGTACCAGCAGATAGGCATGTCTAGTAGACAGAGCACAGTCTATTTGCACCTACATCTAGAGGATCCTTGCATGAGGTAAGGGAGACAACTTTGTATAGCAATGTGTGGCACCTTAGTTAGACAAATTGAGGCTTATACAAACGCCTATGATATGTTGTCTTTCACAAGTTACATAATCTCATGTACTTCCATCAGGGTAGAGGGGTGGTGGGGTAATCTAGTGGTTAAAGCGTTCACTCATCACGCTTCAGACCCCACTTCGATTCCCCACATGGTATAATGTATGAATCCCATTTCTGGTGTCCACATCCATGATATTGCTGCAATATTGCTAAAAGCAGCGTAAAACCTCACTCTCTCACTCACTCACACTCATTCATTCACTCACTCACTCACTCAGGGTAGATGCAAGTCTGTGATCTGGGAATCAGTCCTGGGGAAGAACACTGATGCAAAGACACTTCCCATTTCAACAACGGCAGTCCAATCGCTGCCTGCTCAGGACTACGGACCAGTCGGTACTCAATTTTGTTAAAGTCAGTGTCTTCATCATTTAGGACACCATCTCTGGGTGTGTTTGGTTGGCATCCTGCTTGCTGCTTGCTGAAAGAAAACCTTGGACGAGTAATATTCAAATGCACATCTAACCCCGTTTCGGGATCAGTTACCCAGTATTTTGATTTAGAAGACACAAAATTCTCAACTGGTCGAACAGGACATTTAAGCTTTGCTTGCTCAATTAAATGTCTGACTCTGCGTCGATGTGAGACTTGGTCATGTGACAAGGGATCTCGACAACCAATCATTTCACACTCTGCATGAGCCTTGTAGAATGTAAGTCGAAGCGGTCTTCGTTTTATCCTCTCCCGTGGTTTGTTAATCTGTCGAAGAACCTCCAGCTTCTCCCTCCATGACAGGCCATCAAGTGTTCTTGGGGTCAAGGTCACCTGGAAAGGGAGACTTTAATAAATGACTTAGAAAATGCAGTTTATACAAATTTACATGGATGACAAAGTCAGGAATATATTTCAGCAAAACTGCTATGGCCAGATGGCATTCAAGTATGTGCAAAAATTGTTACAGGGATATATTACCTTTATACATTATATACATTTGGTAGTAAGAGACACATTTTAACAAGTTAGATGGAACAACAATCCCATTCTGTCTGATAATAATCAATATTGCCACACTAAAAATCCTTTCTTGACATTAATAAGTCAGTAAAGAAAATAATATTTTACTACAACTTGTATACTTGAAAGAAAGATAGTTTACAATCGACAGCACACGCATACAGTTCAGTGAGACAGAGACATGCAGGGAAATGTTGATGTGGTCATTCGTAAGTTGACTTTAACACGAATATAGTTGCCAGCATACATCATAATGAGTGAGTGAGTGAGTGAATTAAGATGGATACCGCTTTGAACAGTATTATTAATCTTCACCATGCTCGTCGTGAGAAATATCATATATATGGATTAGTTTCATGTAGCTCCTTGTGTCAATCCGTGGTCACATGGTATGCATTGATTGAATCCCTGGTCGCAAGGTATGCATTGATTGAATCCCTGGTCACAAGGTATGCATTGATTGAATCCCTGGTCACAAGGTATACTGTGATTGAATCCCTGGTCACCAAGTATGCATTGATTGAATCCCTGGTCACATGGTATGCATTGATTGAATCCCTGGTCACCAGGTATGCATTGATTGAATCCCTGGTCACCAGGTATGCATTGATTGAATCCCTGGTCACCAGGTATGCATTGATTGAATCCCTGGTCACAAGGCATACTGTGATTGAATCCCTGGTCACCAGGTATGCATTGATTGAATCCCTGGTCACATGGTATGCATTGATTGAATCCCTGGTCACCAGGTATGCTTTGATTGAATCCTGGGTTACCAGATATGCTTTGATTGAATCCCTGGTTACCATGAGTGCATTGATTGAATCCCTGGTTACCATGAGCTCATTGATTGAATCCCTGGTCATCAGGTATGCATTGATTGAATCCCTGGTCACCAGGTATGCATTGATTGAATCTCTGGTCACAAGGTATGCTTTGATTGAACCCTTGATTACCAGATATGCTTTGATTGAATCCCTGGTTACCATGAGTGCATTGATTGAAACCCTGGTCACAAGGTATACTGTGATTGAATCCCTGGTCACCAAGTATGCATTGATTGAATCCCTGGTCACATGGTATGCATTGATTGAATCCCTGGTCACCAGGTATGCATTGATTGAATCCCTGGTCACAAGGTATGCATTGATTGAATCCCTGGTCACCAGGTATGCATTGATTGAAGCCCTGGTCACAAGGTATGCATTGATTGAATACCTGGTCACTAGGTATGCATTGATTGAATCCCTGGTCACAAGGCATACTGTGATTGAATCCCTGGTCACAAGGTATGCATTGATTGAATCCCTGGTCACCAGGTATGCATTGATTGAATCCCTGGTCACCAGGTATGCTTTGATTGAATCCTGGGTTACCAGATATGCTTTGATTGAATCCCTGGTTACCATGAGTGCATTGATTGAATCCCTGGTTACCATGAGCTCATTGATTGAATCCCTGGTCATCAGGTATGCATTGATTGAATCCCTGGTCACCAGGTATGCATTGATTGAATCTCTGGTCACAAGGTATGCTTTGATTGAATCCTGGATTACCAGATATGCTTTGATTGAATCCCTGGTTACCATGAGTGCATTGATTGAAACCCTGGTCACAAGGTATACTGTGATTGAATCCCTGGTCACCAAGTATGCATTCATTGAATCCCTGGTCACCAAGTATGCATTCATTGAATCCCTGGTCACATGGTATGCATTGATTGAATCCCTGGTCACCAGGTATGCATTGATTGAATCCCTGGTTACCAGGTATGCATTGATTGAAGCCCTGGTCACCAGGTATACTGTGATTGAATCCCTGGTCACCAAGTATGCATTGATTGAATCCCTGGTCACATGGTATGCATTGATTGAATCCCTGGTCACCAGGTATGCATTGATTGAATCCCTGGTCACAAGGTATGCGTTGATTGAATCCCTGGTCACCAGGTATGCATTGATTGAATCCCTGATCACCAGGTATACTGTGATTGAATCCCTGGTCACCAAGTATGCATTGATTGAATCCCTGGTCACAAGGTATGCATTGATTGAATCCCTGGTCACCAGGTATGCATTGATTGAATCTCTGGTCACAAGGTATGCTTTGATTGAATCCTGGATTACCAGATATGCTTTGATTGAATCCCTGGTTACCATGAGTGCATTGATTGAAACCCTGGTCACAAGGTATACTGTGATTGAATCCCTGGTCACCAAGTATGCATTCATTGAATCCCTGGTCACCAAGTATGCATTCATTGAATCCCTGGTCACATGGTATGCATTGATTGAATCCCTGGTCACCAGGTATGCATTGATTGAATCCCTGGTTACCAGGTATGCATTGATTGAAGCCCTGGTCACCAGATATACTGTGATTGAATCCCTGGTCACCAAGTATGCATTGATTGAGTCCCTGGTCACAAGGTATGCATTGATTGAATCCGTGGTCACATGGTATGCATTGATTGAATCCCTGGTCACCAGGTATGCATTGATTGAATCCCTGGTCACAAGGTATGCGTTGATTGAATCCCTGGTCACCAGGTATGCATTGATTGAATCCCTGATCACCAGGTATACTGTGATTGAATCCCTGGTCACCAAGTATGCATTGATTGAATCCCTGGTCACAAGGTATGCATTGATTGAATCCCTGGTCACCAGGTATGCATTGATTGAATCCCTGGTCACAAGGTATGCGTTGATTGAATCCCTGGTCACCAGGTATGCATTGATTGAATCCCTGATCACCAGGTATACTGTGATTGAATCCCTGGTCACCAAGTATGCATTGATTGAATCCCTTGTCACAAGGTATGCATTGATTGAATCCCTGGTCACCAGGTATGCTTTGATTGAATCCTGGGTTACCAGATATGCTTTGATTGAATCCCTGGTTACCCTGAGTGCATTGATTGAATCCCTGGTTACCATGAGTGCATTGATTGAATCCCTGGTTATCAGGTATGCATTGATTGAATACCTGGTTATCAGGTATGCATTGATTGAATCCCTGGTCACCAGGTATGCATTGATTGAATCCCTGGTCACCAGGTATGCATTGATTGAATCCCTGATCACCAGGTATACTGTGATTGAATCCCTGGTCACCAAGTATGCATTGATTGAATCCCTGGTCACAAGGTATGCATTGATTGAATCCCTGGTCAACAGGTATACTGTGATTGAATCCCTGGTCACCAAGTATGCATTGATTGAATCCCTGGTCACCAGGTATGCATTGATTGAATCCTGGGTTACCAGGTATGGTTTGATTGAATCCTGGGTTACCATGAGTATATTGATTGAATCCCTGGTTACCATGAGTGCATTGATTGAATCCCTGGTTATCAGGTATGCATTGATTGAATCCCTGGTCAACAGGTATACTGTGATTGAATCCCTGGTCATCAAGTATGCATTGATTGAATCCCTGGTCACCAGGTATGCATTGATTGAATCCCTGGTTACCATGAGTGCATTGATTGAATCCCTGGTTATCAGGTATGCATTGATTGCATCCCTGGTCACCAGGTATGCATTGATTGAATCCCTGGTTATCAGGTATGCATTGATTGAATCCCTGGTCACCAGGTATGCATTGATTGAATCCCTGGTTATCAGGTATGCATTGATTGAATCCCTGGTCACGAGGTATGCATTGATTGAATCCCTGATCGCCAGGTATGCATTGATTGAATCCCTGGTCACAAGGTATGCTTTGATTGAATCCCTGGTCACCAGGTATGCATTGACTGAACAGGTATGCATTGACTGAACAGGTATGCATTGTTTGAATCTGAGGTCACCAGGTATGCATTGTTTGAATCTGAGGTCACCAGGTATGCATTGATAGATACAAACATATACAGAAAATCGTTATTAACTCTGTTATTAGGACCGATACATTCATGCACATACAAAACAACAATGTTAGTCACATGCGGTGCGTGGAAAGGAACCACAGATAATTCTATACAAAACACCTTAAAGGTTATTATGCAGTGCTTCAGACTACATGTGGCCCGGTATAGACTAACATTTAGTCTCTGAAATCTTATATTACACAATATCCTTCTTGACTCTAAAAATAAAAAAATTCCCTATGCAGAGCTGGCTTGAGCAGGCTAGACTTGCTTTTGTATGCATTTCTAGATTATTATTTTTTCAATCTGAAGCTCTGACTGTCTCCAGGTCTATGTTTACTGCTTCATGCCACATCCAGAAATATTCCCACAAAATGATGGGGACGTGGTAAATGATTGAGTCTGGTCCAGACAAACCAGAGACTGAAGTTATGTGCTACCATCCATGCCATTAGGCTGCAATGACACTAGAGCTGGGATGGGATACTCGGGTCGAGCAGGTCCTGAGTAGGACTCGGGTACCCACATGACTACCCAGACCCGTGGTTAGTCACCTGATACATGTATATTATATGGGGCGGTCGGGTAGCCTTGTGGTTAAAGTGTTCGCTCATCACGCCGAAGACCCGGGTTCGATTCCCGACATGGGTACAATGTGTGAAGCCCATTTCTGGTGTCCCCCGCCGTGATATTGCTGGAATATTGCTAAAAGCGGCGTAAAACCATACTCACTCACTCACTCACTGTATATTATATTGTATAGTCACTATAGCTCTGTGGTAACACTACAAGTCGCTAATGTTTGCATTTCTTTCTGGCGATGCACAAATTCCTTTTGACTTGTATGTGTTTGAGTAAAGACAAAGCTTCAGTCAACTTCAGTATACGCATGATCTGATTGTTTGATACATGTATCTGAACAGTTTTTTCCAGGGCTGAAGTAAAACTTTTCCCAATCAGATATTTGGTTCCCAACTACAGCGGGTAGGGTCGGGTAATACTACTAATAGGGGGTAGGGTACCCGAGTAGTAAATTTGGACTCATCCCAGCCCTAAAAGACACGCAATCAACCAAGTCATCAAGCCTGACCATTAGGCTGGGACAATACATAGAGAGCCATAAGTGATGTCATTTGATTGTGACGTCATGGTAACCAGTGACGTCACAATGGTTTGCAAAGCATTGTGAGGTAATTTCATTGCAGCGATATCTCCTGTGGGAGCCAGTTTTGGATGATAAACTAACTGTGCGACCCGATACATATCACTATACCTTGCATGTGCTCTTATCTGTGGTGCATAAGCCATCTTTTTCATTGACAGCATGGCCAAATACCTGGCAAACTAACGATTTATTGTTGGCAGTGTCAAGCAAGGCGCAATAGATGAAAATATTTACGTTTTCACTACTCATTTTTACAAGTAATTAGTGTATGGTGTAACATTCATTAAAGAGTACATTTCAGGTAAGAATCAAGTTGTAAAAATAACTCGATCCGCCAATGCATCGGTGTATAGTCCCACTACTAACTGACCACCCGATCCATTAAGTCGCCGATGATGACCAGCATAGGCTGCTTTGTGCCAATTCTAACCCGGAATCCCCGTCTAGGTCTAGTTGCCATGGAAGCAGGAACATGGATACAGAACACAGTTAGACACTTTCGATAAGAACGTACAGGAGTTAGTGACAGTTGGAAGGAAGACTGATACCTGGTTTCTAACTACTTTGTAACAGGGTCATAGCGAGTTGCTAGGCTGACATACGCGCGGCCATTTGTATCAAACCACATCTGAAATACAACATTATACCACATCTTACAAAAGAAACAACAGAAAATGAAACAGTTCTTGCACTGAAATCACAATTGGTCATAAAAGAGAAAACATACATCATGATATCATTTAGAAAATGTATTGTTAATACTTAAATACTTCATAAAACTTTATTGAGCTTATTGATCTGTCAATATGATTATTCATTCTGAAGTTTTCATGTACTCAGCAATATTCCAGCTATATGAAGGTGGCCCGTAAATAATTGAGTATGGGCCAGACAATCAAGTGATTGTTATTTTAAGCAACAATCAAAGCCCTCTGGGTATGATGACATGTACTCAGCAATATTCCCCCCTATATGAAGGTGGCCCGTAAATAATTGAGTATGGGCCAGACAATCAAGTGATTGTTATTTTAAGCAACAATCAAAGCCCTCTGGGTATGATGACATGCTCTCAAACAAGTCTTGTCACCCCATCACCTCTTACAACCTGGGCCCCGTTCCACAAAGTGATCTTAGCGCTAAGTCGATCGTAACTCCCATTCTATAACACTGACTTACGACAATTGTAGTGCTGAGATCGCTTTGTGGAACGGGCCCCAGCATAGGTCCCCAACAATGCAAAAACAACACTACCATTCAGATATTATATTTCCAATAACATTCTATTAAGGCTGGCAGAATGATACAGAGAAAGGACAACAAAAATCAAACATCAACATATTCATTTACAAAATGTCGAATTTAAATTGGAACAAAATATATATACATGTACATAAATATGATTTCTGATCTGAAATGTAAAAAATTTCATATAAGTTACGTATTTCGTATAAATTGTTCCCACCTACGACATGACGATCTGTAAACCAAGAAAGTATAAAAGAACAAATTTCAGTTACCACATTTAACATTAATAGTGTTATTTCAGCCTGTTCACAAGAACACACTATGTGAATAGTAAGTGTAATGAATAAAACAATATAACAACGTAGCATGTTAGAATTTTGTGTTAGTGCTAAAATAAACAAACATTTGGCGAAAATACCTTGTGGCAAACAAATTAGTAATTCAGGCAAAATGTTATATACACCATCATGATCATAGAATTAAACATAGGTGAAGCAAGAATAGGTTGACTTTGTAATCATGACACTATTGTTTTATGAAAGGTTTACACTCACATGAAGTTGGTAAAGTGAAATTCAAATATTCAAGGCAGTTTATTTTAGTTGACATCATGATTACCTTGTAATAGCCACTTGACACAAGTCATCACCAAAACAAATTCCATCATTTGCAAAAGGCAAAATAGCAGTGAAAAGTATACGAATTGATCACTGAAATGCAGTGATGACACCAGGTGTCCATGAAATGGGTAAGCATGCCCTGCAATAAAATACATAATACATGCAGGAATTCCTTTCCAACTGACCATTAGACTATAACTGTTAAAAGTCACAATACCCCTAGCTCGCGTATTGGTACATCACATATTGCTATCGTGTTATTTAAGTCATAATATGATGTGAATGAACATGTACTTGATTTGCAGTTTTTGTGTGAAATTAGCATATTTTACAGATTGATTAGCATTTTGCTTTGTTCTAGACACTAAGGTAATGCTAGCCCAGGCATTATTGCAACAAATCATAAATATAATACTTTTAGAAACTCTGATCAAAACTTGATCTCAAAGATCAGATAGCCTGCATCTGTTGTCAGCGTCAAAGTCATGCACCAGGACATTCGGCGATCAAGCCTTTGACAAAGATGGACCAGTACTGTGGAATAATCTTCCAGCTCATCTCCAATGTATTTAGATTCAGCTGAGACTCACTTCTTCAGCCAGGGGGGGCATGGGTGGCCCAGTCGTCTAAGGCGCCGCGATTCGCTGTGCAGAGTTGCGTCCCTTGGACACACCAGAAACCTATGATTGTGGGTTCGAATCCCGGTTCGCCCCAATTATATTTCTAGGTTTGTCAGCACCATACCCGTGCTTGTGGGTTTCACCGAAGTGGTAAACGTCTGAGACCTGCATCACTTCGAGCTTTCCTCCCACATTAAGCTGACACGCCATGATATAACTGGAATACTGTTAAAAGCTGTGTTAAATCCAACTCACTCACTCACTCTTCAGCCAGGCATACCACTGAATCAAAGAATTGTTCTTTCCTTACTGTCTTTGAGCAGTTAACACTTATGGGAAACAAGCACTCTACTAATGACTATTATTGCTATCATTATCAGTTTGTTTGTTTGTTGTTTAATGTCGCACTCAGCAATATTCCAGATATATGACGGCGGTCTCTAAACAATTGAGTCTGAACCAGACAATCCAGTGATTGACATTATGAGCATCGATCAACCCAATGGGGGATACAATGACATGTATCAACCAAGTCAGCAAGCCTGACCACCCGATCTCGTTAGTCGCCTCTGACAGCAAGCATGGGTTGCTGAAGACCTATTTTTAACCTGGATCTTCACGGGTCTGTGTGAATGATGACACCCCTAACACATGCTGAAATGAAACAAATAATTAGTTCACAATATAATTCAACAACTCGTGAACACGTAAAAATTAACAGTGGATGTGAAGTTAGACGAAATCAACACGGTGAGTAACAACACTGGTGGCTCCTGCACAGCAAACTCAACTCGGTTTACCCCAGATGCGATAGACGGTCCTTGAACCTGCTGTCCAGACCCATTCTCAAACTCCGCCATGAGAGGCGGGGGATCTGCCAGAACCATCTCCGCAAGGTGCTTCAGATTGTGATCCGAGTCCACACACCACTTCTTTGTTCTGGTCAATGCGATCGCACGTTGAGGAACGTTGTGATTCCAGTATTGATGATACGGCACAAATCCTTCCGGAGTCATCACGTCCTCAAGAGGACCTTCTGCCACACAGAGTTCGAAGCCTGGGTGGAGCTGATCAACCAGCCCTGCTGACCCGTGTCGAGCCTCACCCTCATCAATGGGGGAGCGGCAATACTTTTTGGTAGGTGTGCGCATTTTCCGTGATTTCTTGCTCCCATGTAACTCTCCATAACTAACCGTGCTGTGACTCCGGCCCTGAGAGCTGAGACTCTGAACTTTTAACACTGGTTCTTTTTCAGCTTCTGACGTTTCCCCTTTTATTTCCATCAGTGCTAATGTGTGTTCTCTCACCGCACTTCCCTTAGCCATTTTACCTGTTGCCAAGGGAGGGAACTCATCTTTGCCATATTTTCTTTTCGACCGATTCCCATTTGTGTCACCCCTTCTAACAGACAACTTAACATTGGACCGCGGTTGTTTAAATGGGGAATTCATCCCAGCATCCTTTTCATTTCCTTTCGCAGGTTTCCGTTCAAACGCTGATTTCTGTGGGTTCCACATCATGGTACTACTACTGCTAACAATGGTTGCTTGTTGTGTAAGGACAGACTCGGAGGGGAAGATGTGATATGTGCATGATGCCTCTAGTTTTGGAGACTGCTTGACGACAGCGTCGGCTCCCAAGCACGTCGTCGAGAGCTTACCAATACTGATGGCCTCGCTCGCCTCCGAAGCTGCTGTAGCCTTCTCAGCCTCCTCCACATCTGGCTGGGGGACAACGCACACTATATGTCAGTAAGAGATACCCAGTAATAACACTAACATGGGTGGTACATGAACATACGCAGGGGACAACGCATACTATGTCAAAAGGAGATATCGAGCAATGAAAACACTGTCATGGGTGGTACACTTATCCGCTCACCAAAAGCAATCTGCTGAATATTGTTAAATTAGTTGAATGTTGATAGAAATTGATTATAAGTGGTAATTCTATCTACAAGCAGAGCTTCTTCTAGAAAGATCAACATCTGTTCACCCTCACACAAAGGACCAAGGCGCTGTTGCTCACCAGTTCTCCAAGTGAGCTGGATGTTATATATGTTTGTTGGCTGTAAGCTGGATGTTATATATGTTTGTTGGTTGAGAGCTGGATGTTATATATGTTTGTTGGTTGAGAGCTGGATGTTATGTATGTTTGTTGGTTGTGAGCTGGATGTTAAATATGTTTGTTGGTTGAGAGCTGGATGTTATATATGTTTGTTGGTTGAGAGCTGGATGTTATATATGTTTGTTGGTTGAGAGCTGGATGTTATATATGTTTGTTGGTTGAGAGCTGGATGTTATGTATGTTTGTTGGTTGTGAGCTGGATGTTAAATATGTTTGTTGGTTGAGAGCTGGATGTTATATATGTTTGTTGGTTGAGAGCTGGATGTTATATATGTTTGTTGGTTGAGAGCTGGATGTTATATATGTTTGTTGGTTGAGAGCTGGATGTTAAATATGTTTGTTGGTTGTGAGCTGGATGTTATATATGTTTGTTGGTTGTGAGCTGGATGTTATATATGTTTGTTGGTTGTGAGCTGGATGTTATAGATGTTTGTTGGTTGTGAGCTGGAGGTTATATATGTTTGTTGGTTGTGAGCTGGATGTTATAGATTTTTGTTGGTTGTGAGCTGGAGGTTATATATGTTTGTTGGTTGTGAGCTGGATGTTATATATGTTTTTTGGCTGTGAGCTGGATGTTATATATGTTTGTTGGTTGTGAGCTGGATGTTATATATGTTTGTTGGTTGTGAGCTGGATGTTATATATGTTTGTTGGTTGTGAGCTGGATGTTATATATGTTTGTTGGTTGAGAGCTGGATGTTATATATGTTTGTTGGTTGTGAGCTGGATGTTATATATGTTTGTTGGTTGTTGTTTGTGAGTGAGTGAGTTGGGTTTGAACAGTATTCCAGCTATATCATGGCATGTCAGCTTGATGTTGGAGGAAAGTCCGAAGTGATTCAGGTCTCAGATGTTTACCACATGCAATCAACCAAACTATCGAGCCTTACTAATTGATCAATTGTAGTTAATCTTTAGTCAACAAGTAAGGAAAGCGTGGCTGATAATTGGCTGCTTAATATATATCACTAAACCACATTGTTGAAAAAAACACTTGTGTAAGTATCATCACATAAAAAAAATTAGTTCTCTGTCTATCAGTGCCATAATATAAAATCTGAATCCTGTTGTAGTGCCATATATATATATATACTACTCAAAAGAAGTTAAGGATCACCTGATTCTTCCATATTACAATAGTTAAACTCTCATGCCATGACAGATTAACATTACCAATATGAAAGAATTGGGTGATCCTTAACTTCTTTTGAGTAGTATATATATCCTACAAAAGGCGCTTTTGCTTCAGAAATGAAAAGATAATGCATAAACATTTTTTTTTATCCATTTTCAATATATTTAAGCTGCATGACCATGTCATTTCTACATATCATATCTTTCTTCATTCAATAAAAAAAAAAAGAAAAAAAAAAAGTGTAGTTTTTAACACCACTAACAAATCATGTCCTATTGTAATAAACATCTTCCTGTAGATACACGTTCATTCAGCTTCATTAGATTCTGAGACGGACGGATAACGGACAATTCCCCATATGCTCCCTTGTACCCTTGGTCCAGGTGAGCCTAAACCTATTCTCTCTGTCTATTCTATCACACAAGGCTGACATGGAAGCAGGCATGACTGCTGGGGTTACCTGTCCTTCCTGAGCAGCAACACAAGCCAGGGTGTCCAGTGTCCTTGACCCTGTTGGCAATACTTCCGACTTCACATGAAACCCATTTGACCTGAAAGGAAGAAAACGAAAGCTGTTCCGAATGGGCTATTTCAGTGGAACCTGCGATTGTCATTGGTTGGTTGGTTGGTTTGTTGTTTAACGCCGCACTCAGCAATATTCCAGCTATATAACGGCGGTCTGTAAATAATCGAGTCTGGACCAGACAATCCAGTGATTAATATCATGAGCATCGATCCACGCAATTGGGACTGATGACATGTATCAACCAAGTCAGTGAGCCTGACCACCTGATTGCGTTAGTCGCCTTTTACAACAAGCATAGTCATCTTTTACGGCATGCATGGGTTGCTGAAGACCTATTCTACCCCAGAATCTTCCCCGGTCTGCGATTGTCATTAGTTGAGTTAATGGCACGGGTGGTCTGCCTTGGTAACTTGGTTGATTGTGTGTAATATTACCCCGACAACGTGGATCATTACTCTTAATATCACTCATTTGATTGTCTGGTCTACAACGCACCCCTTTGATCATGTATGTCAGGTGATCTTTCCACAAGGGAATTTTACCTCTCTACGAGATGTAAAATTTGCAAACATTGTTTCAGTGTAGCATTTTCCTATATTTTTCGAGCTCTAAGCATTAATGTCAAAACCTTTTCAATGCTGTAAAAGCAAAGACATGAAAATACTTTGTCGCAAAATATAAGCCCTTTACTTGCAATACTATTGATAGCCGTTGAAAAAGTCGGAAGAAAAACATCTGAAAAACAAAGCCACAGAAAGGATTGCTGTATTCACCATACAACCTTTTAGTTTTCAAAGTTTATAAAGACTTCTACATTATTCATTAAAGAATATTCATTTGCCAACTATGAAGTTTCGCTATTCAGTGGTTCATCAGCACCAAAGGACCACCATCCTAACCCACTGAATGCTTTCCACTCCACATGTCAAACACTTTCCACAACGGAACACGTTTTGCCAGTGAACACTTTCCACAACGGAACACGTTTTGCCGGTGAACACTTTCAACAACGGAACAGGTTTTGCCGGTGAACACTTTCAACAACGGAACACGTTTTGCCGGTGAACACTTTCCACAACGGAACACGTTTTGCCGGTGAACACTTTCCACAACGGAACACGTTTTGCCGGTGATCACTTTCCGGGTATCTAGTTGTGGAGTGTAGCTTCTTAATCTGTCAATTTTTTCTGTTGTAATGCATTTTGAAGCCAAATTTGCAAAAAAACTTTCATGTATATACAGTGTTCCAACTTTAAACAAACAAAAAAATGTATGAAAATTATTTAGTTTTAATTCTTCAAACATTATTTTCAGTGCAAAGATGTCATCTCTGCAGTAATTCAGTTAGATCTATACATCATTCACACAAACTTCTGTCACAATTTTCTCTCTTTTTTTTAATATTTAGAGACGAAGTCACTTAACCAAACGATATTGAACCTAGAAATAGACAAGGGGAAAACCCTGATGACAACAGACAAGCTGACTTTGTTCGAAAAATATACTTATATGAATATCACCGATGTTTTGTTCGATAACAAAGATTTATAAGGTACTTTATTTGCTGGTCCACAGGGACTGGCAGTTACATGAATTACCCTTTCAAGCCTAAATTTACTGGTAAAAACATGCTGATATATGTAGAACTTTGTTTAGGAAAGGAAATTTACTGCCCTTGTAATGAGCAGGTAGGGTTGGGGAGGTGAGTACATTTGTTGGTTGATAGTTACGATACCGGTTAATTCCACGAGGGACACTGACAATACACTATATAACTGTACATTAGTAGTGGTTCCATCTGTGCTCATGGGTTTTACCAAAGTGGTATGATCTCTGTAAAACCTTCATCACTTTGGTCTTGCACCCACATTTAAATGACGGACCTTGTTACACCTGAAAACCCAAACTCGCTCGCTCAATAAACAATTTATGCTGACATAAAAACATCCTCATGGTTGATTGGACAGTAATCAAATGGTTTTATGATCATGAGTGAGTGAGTGAGTGAGTTGGGTTTAACGCCGCTCTAATAATAGTACACTGCACCATTTCATTACTCTACACGACCCTCATATTGCCTACAGAGCTCCAGATAAGCTGCGTATCTGCGTAAAATACGCATCAGAAATGCAGAAATACGCAGTAAAATATAATCCAAGCTTATCAAATATGCAACGAACATTACAGATGCGCTACAAAAATAAAACTTGAGCATATCATCAAAATGTTGGGAAGTAACCCTGCGTATTTGATTAGCAAATCACCAACTTATTTTGAACTTATAAACGGGTATTCCGTCAACCTTGCCAAACTCCACGATGACAGTTACACCATGATCATTTGCCAGCACACTTTCTTGTGGAAGTATCATGGTATTTTGGGGTCCTATAAAGCTCTCGAACCCACACGACACCAGTTTGCAGGGACTAGATGAATAGAGTTTTTAAATATTTAACTTAAATACCCACATATGTAAAAACTAGTTGGTAATGGAAATGTGAATACCCAGATAGAATTACTGATACCCAATGATTTTAAAATGCATGGGGAAAATACCCACAACACCAAAAGCTTATCTGGAGCACGGGTCTACATGCACTTCAAGTGAGTGAGTGAGTGAGTGAGTGAGTGAGTGAGTGAGTGAGTGAGTGAGTGAGTGAGTGAGTGAGTGAGTGAGTGAGTGAGTGAGTGAGTGAGTGAGTGAGTGAGTGAGTGAGTTGGGTTTTACGCCGCTTTTAGCAATATTCCAGCAATATCACGGCGGGGGACACCAGAAATGGGCTTCACGTATTGTACCCATGTCGGGAATCGAACCCGGGTCTTAGGCGTGACGAGCGAACGCTTTAACCACTAGGCTACCCGACCGCCCCACTTCAAATGAAAGGAACAGAGACAAACAAGAAATTAAGATTAAGTTTTCATGGAAAAAAGACTAGAATAACTGCTTCATCACAAACTTTAGCAATATCCTCAGTAACTAACATTCCAGTTTGTTTGATATGATATACAACTAGTAAATATGTTTCATCAAGCGACAGAACACACAAGAGAATTATACAGTGGTACATGTTTAAAAACAGATAAATAATACTCAACCACCCTGGTGGAATAATGAACAAGATCACCTCAAACAACAAAAACACATGGCTTTTAAAGATCACACACTGACATTAACACAGATGTTTCACTATTTAGGAAATTAAGATTATTTTTCAGAAGACCCTTCATTCAAAAGAAACAGATATATTTAAGCAAACAGAAAGACAAACTAATACATGCAAGAAATGAGTTTCACAGAGTGACACAATCACAGATGAACAGTGGATAACACACTCTATCAATCGTCTCTGCACAGATACCCTTACAGACAACAACATCCACTGTAGTACTGTTGACCCAGATGATCTGTGCATACTCAACTGTCCCATGACAGAACAGGAAATGTTATCTAGCAACACAAACTTACCAAACAATAAAACTCCTGGGCTCACTACAGAGTTTTTCAAAACTGCACAGCATATAATTATCCAGTCGCTTACACTCCCAAACAGCTGGGGTATAAGTATCATATGCCCCTAACTTAAATTTGACAGTAAAAATGATACAAACAACTACAGGGATATGTCACTGATTGACACTCTCTGCAAAATATTTCTTTCCATTTCCATTTTGAATAAAAGGCTTCAAATTTGGTTGGTTTGTTTGTCTGTTTTTGTTTGTTTGTTGATTTACGCCGCACTCAGCAATATTCCAGCTATGTGATGGCGGTCTGTTAATAATCGAGTCTGGACCAGACAATCCAGTGATTGACATCATTGATCCACGCCGTTGAGATACGATGACATGCATAAACCAAGTCAGCAAGCCTGACCACCCGATCCCATTAGTCGCTTCTTACGGCAAGCCAAGACGCTTCAAATTTGGTGTGAAAGTAATAATGTAATTAGTGATGCGCAGGCTGGTTTCAGACAAAATGACTCCACTACAGATCACATGTTAACTTTACAGGCTGTTATCCAGACGTAATGCTGGAAGAAAAGGGGGAGATTTTACTGCCTCTTTATAGATTTTGTGAAGGCATTTCACGCACTTAGACATGATGTTCTCCTGCATTCATAACATAAAGGACCCGTGAAGATTCCGGGGTAGAATAGGTCTTCAGCAACCCTTGCTTGCCGTAAAAGGTGACTAACAGGATCGGGTGGTCAGACTCGCTGACACATGCTCATTGGGCTCACCAAAGTGGTAAACATGTAAGACCTATATCACTTTAGGCTGTCCTCCCACTACAAGCTGACATGTGAAGATCCTGGGTAGAATAGGTCCTCAGCAACCTATGCTTGCCGTAAAAGGTGACTATGCTTGTCGTTAAAGGCGACAACAATACATACTGGAGTTAGTATTTTTCCAAATGAAAACCATGAAGCCAGGATCTAAACCATCTAAAACAGTGCTTGATTTCTGTATTGTGTCGAGAAAATTATGAATGCTAGAAATTAATAAAGAAGAAGAAAGAATCTGAAAATAGGATACATGTTTACAAAGCGTCTGAGCCTTTTACTATCACTACTACCATCATGTTTTGTAATTGATTCTGCCACTCAGACTGTTGTACTACCACTCTATTGCATGCTGCATTGTATTTGCTGTGCAGTAATTTATACTGATTTGTAAACCTAGTTAACTTTGGAATACAGTTGTTGATTGTTTGTTGGTTTCACACAAAATTCTTCGAAGTAAAGAGTTCTGGGTTAACTTAAATTGTTTCAATTTGGGAGTGAGTGAGTGAGTGAGTGACTATGGTTTTTCGCCGCTTTTAGCAATTTTCCAGCAATATAACGGCGGGGACCCTAGAAATAGGCTTCACACATTGTACCCATGTCGGGAATCAAACCCAGGTCTTCGGCGTGACAAGCGAACGATTTAACCACTAGGCTACCCGACCGCACCTTCAATTTGGGAATCACCATATAACATATATTGTGCAAGCCTGTATCATGCTTTACAGTGTACCGGTAATACTGT